ACAGCCTCTAATAGTTCATTTCAAAGCCGGTAGCCCTGTCAGCCCGTTTCAGTGCAAGCAAACAGGAGTCTTGGGGCACCTTAAACACTAACAAAAATTTTATTCCAAAATAAGCTGCTGCGGACTTCACTTCGCTTCCTCAGATGCAGGGAGAGGGTTGTCACTGCACAGGAGATAAAGGGAGAAATGTAATTATTAGGGGTGTGCAACTTTTTTTTAACTGGTATTTTTCAGTTTGGGTCCATTGGGAGGTGGAAATTTTGGGGGATTCCTGAAAAATCCCGGATTCAAATACTGGCATGGCATTTGGATCTGGGATTTTTCAGAAATCCTGAAAACTGAAAAATGCCTGTAAAAAATACCAGCCCATCCTGGAGCATCAGGAGAAGGCAGTACAGAACTGTGCTTGCAGGCACTGCCATCCCGGCTGGGCTGCCCTGTCCTGCCGCCCAGTTTAAACTACACGGCCGGAGAAGGCAGCACAAAGTTGCACCTGCAGGGAAGTAATGGCCTCTCCACAGGCACAGTGACCCCAGCTGGGCTGTCCTCTCCTGCTGCCCATTTTAGGTTTCGGCAGGGCACTGACAGGGAGCTCTCAACTCCCCACCAACCCATCTGATCTTGGGCTGGCTTCTCTTGCAGCCTGGTTTAAAGAGAAGCCAGCCACAGCCAAGGTGGTGGGCTCATCGCCACCCCAGCTGATCCTCAGGCTGACTTCTGCAGTCCCTTCGAAGCTTAAAGGGACTGCATAAGCCTGCCTGACAAACAGCTGAGAGGCGGGAGTAAGGTGCTCCCACCTCCAGTGTTCCCTCTAAGCTGAGTGAGTGTGAGCTAGCTCAGAGTTTTTTAACCCCCCAGCTCACACATTTTTGCCTTAGCTCAGGAAGGAGGGCTCCAGAGCGAACTAATTTATGCGGTCACCAAATCCCTCACTCAGAACTTTAATGCCAGTAGCTCACAAAGCAGAATTTTTGCTCACAAGACCCCACAGCTTAGAGGGAGCATTGCCCACCTCTCCACTGTTTTCAGATCTACCTGGAATGCCTGAATATATGCGGGATTTTCTCTGGATTGGATCTCTTCCCCCCCCCCCCCCGGTTTTCCTGAGAAAACTTGGATACATTTGGGAAGCTGAGTTATACCCCAAAATACCAATAAGGTGTTTTTCAGTTTTTCCCGTTTCGGCAGAACTGAATGCACACCCCTAGTAATTATGCCCAGTTATGCCTCAAAGATAAAACGACACTGGACTGAACTAGGATTTGGGATTTTTGTCATTCTGTAAGTCAGGGGGTTCCCCAACGTGGTGCCCAGGGGAAGTGGATGGGGTCAGGCAGGGCTATTTTTGGGCAGGAACGCACAGGAACAGAGTTCCGGCTGGCTTCCAAGTTGGCCACACCCAGCAGGAACTCATTAGCATAATAGGCCACACCCAACAGCAGAAACTCATTAGGATTCGCTACATTAGGGGTGTGTGGCCTAACATGCAAAGGAGTTCCTGCTCCAAAAAAAGCCCTGGGTTTGGACAACAAACAAGGTAAACAGAATAAGAAGCAAAAGGTGGGTGTGGCTAGATGAGCACACTTCTGGTAACATGGGGGAGTGGCCTAATATGCCAATGAGCTGTGATGTCAGGGGTGTGGCCTAATATGCTAATGAGTTTCTGCTGTTGGGTGTGGCCTATTATGCTAATGAGTTCCTGCTGGGCTTCTTCTACAGAAAAAGCCCTGGGGCCAGGTAGGGCTTTTCCCCAGCAAAGCTTCTGAATTACTACTGGAGATTTGATTGGCTGTGCAGATTTTTTAAAATATTGCTTGGCATCAGCTCCCGACACATCACAAGGATCTACACTGTGTGACTGAAGTTAAGCTGTGGCGATCATTTTGTGTCCGGCTCCACCTCCTGCGGCAGCCATTTTTGGTGCTGCCCCCACTGTGCCATATCAGAATTCCAAATGTGCCCGCAGGCCCAAAAAGGTTGGCGACTTCTGCTGTGTCAGCAAAACCTGGCACTTCTCCCCACCCATTAGAAGTGCTAACTCACTCAGCATAAACAGTGAAGGGTCTCTGTATTTTTCTCGATTGGATCAGAATTTTACATAACTACAGTTCACACTGTATTTTCATGCCCTCCCTGACCCTGCTGTATGTTTATTTTCATACCTCCTACATAAAATGACTGCATAGCGAAGATCCACTCATTGCATCTGAAGAGGTGGGCTCTAGTCCAATGAAAGCTCAGGCTAGAATTAAAAATTTGTTAACAGTTTGCAAAGTACCACAAGACGCCTGTTTCTAAGACTTACTTAACAGCGCTAATGCTACCCTCCTGACTCCGGGAGTCGCCTGTGTCATGCACGCACACGTACACCCACCCACCCACGAGAATCACACCCCCAGACAGCTCATCCTAACAAAGCCCCTTGCAGAGGCAACATTTCAGGCCCTCCTAGAGAACAGGACTCCGGGAACACACACGCACACACCCAGCGCACATGCAAAACCGAGGGGGTGGGAAGCTCGCGTTCCCGATCCCCACGGGAAAACGCTTCCCACGTTGCACTCAGTTCCCAAAAAAACTAAAAGCAGGCGCTTGCAATAACTTTGCAACGGTCCCCCAGGCCAAACCTTCTTTGCGTTCAGCCGCACAGACACTCCGCCTCCCCGAAAGTGGCCCCCTCTCCCTGAATCCACCCCCACCACCCAACGGCTTTGCTAGAGACCCTGGAGGCATCCTTCCCGCCAGAGGAAGACAGAGGCTCCCCAGGGCTCGCCTCGCAGAAGCAAACACGTGGCAACTCCTGGCCCCAAAAGCAACCGGGACCCTGACTCACCCCAGCAGCAGCAACAGTTGTACTGAAGGGGGGCTGCCCAGGCACAGCAGCCAGCGAGCGAGGGGGGGAACGGGGGCGTGGCGGGAAGACCCGCGAAACCACCGAGACGGGCGCAGCTAGAGTGGCCATCAGAGCGGAAGCAGGGCGCGAAAAAACCCTCTGCCCAGCCCCCGCTCCCTCGTGGCGGGGGAGGAGGAGTCTTAGTAATTCTTCTTGCAGAGGACTGGGTTGGTTCTGGAGAAATGATGACTCAAGAAAGCTCGTGCCCGGCCACACATTTTGCTAGTCTTTAAGGAGCTACTGAGCTCTTGCTCTTTTCTGCTGTTACAGAGAGACTTCACACGGCTATCCATCGTCCACCTAATAAAGGGACAATGCCTGTCAAGTAATTAAAGCGCTGCCCTTGGATTTCTCTGTTTTCATCACAGACCCTGAGCAATGTTCCCTCTAAGCTGTGCTCAAGAAAGCTCATGCCCGGCCACACATTTTGCTAGTCTTTAAGGAGCTACTGAGCTCTTGCTCTTTTCTGCTGTTACAGAGAGACTTCACACGGCTATCCATCTTCCACCTAATAAAGGGACAATGCCTGTCAGTAATTAAAGCGCTGCCCTCGGATTTCTCTGTTTTCATCACAGATCCTGAGTGCCTCTAGGCATGTGCAGATTAAGGCAATAAAGTGCACAGAGGACTCCTGGACATTGATATAAAAAGGAGTCTTCTGGCACTAAAAACAGTTTTATTCCGACTTGATTTTGTTAAAGATTTTCAAGACTCTTGGTCATTTTTGTGGCAACACACCAAGGTGGCCCCACCTGCCCCTCTGGAATTATTTCCAGTGAATATATAAAGAAGTAGTATTTATACCCTGTTTTCCTTCTGAAGGGGGATCCAAAGGGGCTTACAACACTGTTTTCCCCTCCTCCATTTTGTCCTCAAAATAATAAGCCTGTGAGGTAGGCTTAGCGGAGTGCCTGCTCCAAGCTTGACTAGTAAGCCTCCATGGCAGACTATACAACCAGTACCTGAAATGAAGCAGAACTGGTAGTCATTCTTAAATCTGCTAAATAAAATCCCCTAACAAGCTCTACCAGACCAATCTCTTAAAACAGGGTGCAAAAATATTTACTTCCATCTTGGCTTTACAGTTGAATCAAATCATATATAGGACATTATCAGAATGGGTTTTATTTCTAGATGGATGATACAGAAACCACCCCATTGAAACGACTCTGAATATCTACTCATTTTAAAAGGCCTTGAATTGAAATTCTGAACACATTTCCTTTGAATCACTGAAAAGTTACATCTGGGTCCAAAAACATTGGTCACTATGGTAGTAGAAATTGCTATCAAGTCACAGCTGTCTTATGGCTACCCCTTAGGGTTTTTCAAGGCAAGAGACTGCAGATGTGGTTTGCCATTGCCTGCCACCATGTCACAACCTGGGTCTTCCTTGGAGGCCTCCCATCCAAATACTTTTAGGTGGGAAATCATGTGAGCCAGGGCTCAGCACCAGAAACAAACCATTCAGCCTAAGGTTACCAACCTCCAGGTCACACCCTGGAGTTCTCCCTGAATTACAATCAATCTCTACATTACACAGATCAGTTCCCCTGGAGGAAATGCCAGTTTTGGAAGGCAGACTTTATGGTATCACATCCCCACCACCACCACCACATGCCCTTCTGAGCTCACTCCCCTCCCCAAACTCTGCCTTTCCTCAGGCACTGCCCTCAAACCCCCAGGAATTTCTCAAAATGGAGTTGGCAACCCTAGTCCTGGAATATTATAATGTTAGAGAAAAGGTGTATCATATTAGAAGACAGGCAGAGTGCATTTTCCTCATCATTGTCTAACCCACATAATTTGGGATTAGGATAAAATTTCCAGATTAGTGGGTGTGGTGGCTTGCAGGTATGTGCCCCTCCCAGATTCCCTTCGCTCAGAACGGTCTCACTGTTTTGCCTTTAATGTCTACAGAGTGAGGAAGTGCAGTTTCCCAAGGCACACAGCTAGAGCAGTCTTCATGGCCTAGCATAGTGTTCTATCCATCCATATACAATGTCCTGAATAAAGGCCCAGGAACCCACATGCATTAATAGGGTTTCCCATCCTTGCACCCATGTGCTCCAGTTCGGAAAGCAACTCTTTGTCTCTCACGAGGCAGCATTTCCAGGTGCAATAAACAGACACTGACAAGAAGAGAGAGAGCTAAGAGAGAGCAAGAGCTAGCTCATTCCCATAGGAATCAAACAATTATAGTCCAATTCCAGTCACAAATTAGATGTGGCTATTAGCCAATTGTGAGTGGGCATGGGTGTGCCCAATTGTTGGTTG